TTCCCGAAATCAAAAGTTCGAAAAATTGTAATTTCCATACAGCGTGACTAAAAATTATATTTCAAACAAATTTTTATCTGAGGTGTTATGAAAATATTTAAAAAAAAGACATTTCGATAAATCTAGAGCCCCCAGAATCCTAGAGACTGACGACTGCCCACAATGCCCACGGGTTAAAAGTGCACAGAGCTTACAATGAACGTAGAGCTCAAATAGAGCTTTTCCGCTGGGTGAAACAATTTCAGTTTGTAAAGTTAGTAATGCGTGAATAAATGTTAAAGATAATGGTTTAGTTGTCATGCGAGATATAATATTATATAGACTATTAAATGTATTGCTTTATTAAATACACATTCTCATCATACTGCATGTACGTAGTGTTTGTATTGATGTGTGCTAATGTGAAGTGAAGTGCAATAGCGAAGAATAAAGAGAAGTGAATTCCAAGGGTTGTAAAGTGGAAAAGAGTGCAGTACAGTTAAAAAGTCATGTATTTATTAGTTTAAAATATCTGTATAGGATGCAACAAAATGTAGAGTTAATTCTATTATTGTTATTAGTATTGATTTTTGTTAGTATTGATTTTATTGTTATTATTGATATTATAATTATTACTTCAAAATAGTTTTGTTATATTGCATTAATATTCTTATTTGAAACCTGTAGTGTTACACCACCAGATTGACAATCCTACCCGCAGAAAATAAAAATAAAAATACAATCTATATCTAGACAAAGTTTCGGAGCCAAGTACGCAACTCGCAACTGTGGGATCTGAGCTGACTGGCGACGCGTTAAATTCAATGAACACCTACTTTGAATATACTGTACGTGAACATTACATTTAATGTGCGTTCATGATAATTACTCTCATGTACTTTCACATTAAAAGTAATGCGGAAATTTCTGACAATGTACTGTTACTACTGGAAGGCAAATCTGGAGAGTACGTAAAATAAAAATCAGTATTTTTTTAGTTCTGACACTATTTCATTCCACGAGCGATATAATAAGTAAATATTACATCCAACTGGAGAAGTAATTATTTACATAAATTACACTTTCTGAGAAGAGAAAACAACTTGAATAGAACATCTGTTACGATGGCACTCGAGTGTACTTTGGCAAAGGAGAAACGATTTGTTGAAAACCATGTTGAACACCAACGTCCTCAAACGCGGCGCCCTGCATCGGGGCAGCCGGTGGCGCCGTGAACGGCCGGCGGAGGGCGTCCCTCGCACAGGCTCCAGGCGATCAATATCGCGTGGGTGTAGCAATCGCTGGTGGCGATGACAACAGTGGCCGCGAGCGCCCCTCGCGGAGAAGCGACGCAACCGCTTGAACGCCGCGCAACGAAAGGCTTCGCACGACGTATCATTTGAACGTAATTCACCACGAAACAGCATTCAAAGTACGTTGCACACTCGCGCCAACACGTGCACATATACTCTTTTTATGGAGGAGGGACACGGTTCGGTTTGTTTACAGAAGTTTATTGACAAAGAACTTAATTAACCTTCCGGTGGGCACGCCTTTGATATAAAAGCGCGTAGGAGCACTGCATGCCGCCTCGAGAAAACAGTCATTTGCACCCACAAAACTTCGATTATTCAAGTGAAGAAGGAAGAATAGAAACTCACAACTATTGACCATTACATTTTTATTGTTAATACATTTTACAAATCACAGAAATGGAAATTACCGCGATTTGTTTAGAATGTTGCCAAGTGAGAGTACTGAAGTACCTTGATATGTCAAATCGCCATTCTCTCTTTCAGTGCAATAAAAGCACTAAGGCAGCACTGAGTGCTGCAGTGCGCACGCCTGAAGATTAAGAATTATTTATAACCCTCTAATGTATTGTAGGTTGAATCCATACATTTCTTACTATTGATACATTAAATCTTGTGAAGTCCTGGGAAATTTTGTGCTGCCAACAATCGCGCCCCATGTTCCCCATCGGGATATTACAGAAATGAGAAATTGATGTTTACCTTTTTTGCAATCCCTAATTTTCCAAGGAAATATAAAATTAAGTTATAACTACTTTTAAAATGATTTCTTGGCAACGCCATGTTGCTAATTACATGGAAGTTCATTTACACAAAGGAAAAAGTAGAAAATTGCGAAAATTTAGATCTTAAAATTTGATGTGTAAAGTATTAATGTCTTGAATTGTGAACATTTGATGGACATTTTAATTAGTGATGCAACGACATCAAATTATTTCTCATTTTATTTACTTTTTGTACTTTATTTTACAATACTACCCGAACCCATGAGAAAAATTCTCACGTTTGAACTCGATTGAGAACGTTTCCACAGTTGTCCATGTCACAGTTCCATGTTGTCACATAGGTATAGCCTCTGACAACACATGCCGTTGAAGGGGTCCTCAACCTACAGAAATATTTGACTGTGGTGGAGTTTGCTAACTTCGCCAGCACTCATTCAGATCACAGATTTTGTAACACATCAGATGTCCAGAAGCACCCATAAAAAATACATTATTTAATTTTAGGATATTCAAATGTTTTAATCAAAATTACATTTTGATCAGGTAATTTTATATATTATACCGCATACATAAGGAAATATAAAGAAACTGGAACAGTTTCTGAGAAAATCGCTTTACATTTTTTGAAAGATTGTCAAAACTCTACTAAAACTACTCAAAAACAACTATTTCAAAACAAATGTATCTCATGACTTCAAGATATAGTAATGTAGAACATATTGTATTGGCTAAAAAAATCTCCATTTTAATAAGGTAGTCCTAAATTTAAAACAGATAGAAAATGAACTTTGGCAATTTTCCAAAATTCAGTAGAATCAACAAAAATTGGGCTGAAGCCATATTCACATGCAAAGTGTACTGTACTTTGGCGAATTGTTAAAACAATTGAAGCAATTTTAAGCCAAATTCGAAAACATTCTAGGATTTTCTTGAAAATTCTCCTCAACAATTAAAAGATCAGTTTTAAATTCACGAGACATTGAGCGATTCAGAAATATCATTTTGGATAATATTCAGCTCATAGTTCATGCACTAGTCTTGCTTTGAGGGACAGACAAAAGAAGAGAAAGATGACCGGTCAGATGGAGAGAAAGACGGACGGATGAATGGAAAAGACCTATGGCCCAATAAGAAGTAGAAGCAGAATTATTTTAATTAGGTACATTTATATTTTTGTAACTGTTAAATACGAATATAATGCTTAAAGAGAAGGTGCTTTAACACTGAAGTAATTCGAGGTATTGTGAGTTTGAAATGGAAATTTTAATTTTGGAGGGTACTTTACATGAAACAGCATTAAAAAATTTCTCAAAATATTTTTCTTTATTTTTTTCCCTTCTGGAGAGGAAAAGATAAATAAATGGCGTAGGTAGCAAAAAAATGAAACGCAGTTTTAATAATCGAATGTGTGTTGATATATTAGCTTTAAAATAATTAGTTCTAGTAGCACCTAATGTTCAACTAGTTGTACTGTGTTTTACGAATCCTGACTGAGATGCGTTAATGTAGATAGAAATTGCGGCATAATAATGTTACGTAACCGTTAATAAGGGCGGAACAAAAATGAGATGTTTTAATATTACAAGTTCCGCATGCACTGACTCACATATAGAAAATGAAATGTGAATTTGATTTTCCATCTATGCGGGAAAATGGATCAGTATAATTATGTACACAAAAGCTTCCCCTTCTAATTTATATCTAACTTTTTACCTCTAATTTTCTACAGATTCACCGATCGCTGTTTTCAAGTTCGTAGGACATGGAGAAAGTTAACTTTGCAAACTAGAACTTTCTGTAGTTTAACACAATACTTGTAGCAGGTGTATACATTTTGAGAGTTAAATATGCGATCAAGTGCTCGTGCATTGTCGACAAAGCAGCCAGCTGCAGATGAAAGACATCATTTGTATTACCTCTTTGAAAGTATAATAGGTAAAAGTTATAGGCAATGTTTTCTGCCAAAAATAGTTTATTTATCAGAATATTGGTTCTTTTACCCATACACATTAATTAGAGCGTGTATCTTGCATATGCATGAAAAATTTGATAGAATACTCGTTAATTAGAAAATTAAGAAAAGGCACAAAATATTGGAAACATAAATTTCGGACCAATATTAATTGATTTAGTAATTAAACAAGTATTCCATTGATTTATTACCACTATCTGTAGAATATTGTACATAAAGTCATCAAAACACGTAGCACCTAATACCGACAGAAATCAAACCCTTGGTATGTTCCACGTCAACAGAAATGTTAATGATTCAATTTCAACGCCTGATTGCGCACGCGACATCCGGGAGAAAGGGCTTATCTCTAGGTTTGTTGTTCTTTACTATCAGAGCGTCGCCATTTGCGTGCGGATTTGTATTCCTACATCGCCGCAAAGTGCAAGAAGCATCCAGGAGGAGTTAGACAGTAATTTGATCAGTTAAGAGCTTTCAAGAGGGCTCTCATCGTAGCGCTCTAGAAATTTCGATGGTCATTTCACCATATTGCAAAACATTTTGTTCTTACGGATGTTGGGGTTGTACGCCGTAGGTAGCAATGGGTCGAGGAAGATAGACGACACGAGGGATCTAGAAGATCTCTTCGAACCGCAAGTGAGAAACAATTGACAGCCGAGCGCAGACAATTCCAACTGCTCCGGTAGCTGATTCAGCAAACAGATATTCTTCCCTGCAGCAACCAGTGGTTTTATTAATTAGATCGCTGGTGAGGTAGATACCTTCTAATATTTAAGTATGATAAATAAAAGATGTTGTCTGGTATCAACAATTTATTTGGCTAATCATCGTTTCAGCCTGAACTTCGTTTTCGACTCGGATTCTGCAAGCTCTGAGGATGATCGCTATGCGATAGAAACTATCATTAGCCAAATAAATTGTTGATACCAGACATCTTATTTATCATACAGTGGTCTATTTTGAACTATAATTTTTTGAACTGTTGGCAGGTACCAGGCAGCAACCAGTTCTGTTGGCTGGTGCCTGTTCGACGCAGAACTAAAAGCTCGCAGGCCATATCGAAAAGAGTCCTTAGCACCATAGCAGTATCGTCAGGCTACTATTTGGAGAAAAAATTCCTACTCGCATATTTCACGTTCAAGCAGTCTCTGCAACATACAGATGACCAAAAAAATGTCGTCTAAATTTGTTCATCATAATAAAAAGGTGTAATAGTGTTGATAAACTTAACAATCTTAAATTTCCCTTTTTTTTACAGTTTTCGGGAAGATATTTTAATTGATGCAGCTTTATATTAAGAAACACGACCACTATTCACTATAACAATTTCTTTTAATGAAATGCATTTAAATTGCACATTGTAGCCAAACATTGTGTACCCTCCATGATGCACATTGTTCAAATCTTTAAAAAAATGAAAACCATGGAATATACAGCATATTAAAATATTCGACTCTTTACAAGTAAACATTTTTTAAAATAAATATTTGCACGTCGAGCCACTGTGAACAAATACTAATTTCTTGATAAAAACCTGGTTAATTACACCTTTAAAGGGACGACTTGATTTTAGAGGAAAAATTATCAGTGTTTAATTCAAATAGTATGTCCATTTACTTGCTGGAGATTTTTTTTTGGACCAAACTCTAGAATGTTGCCCTGACAGACTGTCATGGAACTCGGCCAACTGGCAGTGAATAATTGTCATTGGTAGCCTCGCTTCACGCTTGGTGACGACAAACTTAATCGTGTGTGGAGGCGACGTGGACAGCACCAAGATGAATGGTTTACAGTCGCACGTCCCGACGACTTGGCCTCATTATGTGAGATGCGATTTTGTTCAATGCCCGATCATCATTAGACCGTCTCGAGCGCATTGAAACTCCGGCGGTACGCAAACGTTCTGCTTCCGAAGTAAAGAGTTGTGGTGTAGATAAGGTTCTCCACATGACTCTACCAGCTATTCAGGAGGGGACCGAATCGGGGGAAGGATCAGGGCATCAACTGATGTCACTGCAGTGTCTCTGACCGGGAGGTCCAGGGTTTCGAGACCCGGCGGTAGCAGGATTTTCGTCACTGGCTGCATAGCTCGGGCGAATTCAGTCGCTGTCTGAAGGAGAATTCTAGTGCCAGGCTGCTTTGATCGGTAGTTTTCCCTCGGTTTCTCCGATCAACACCACGCGAATGCCGAAGCAGAGCCCTAAGAAATGGGTTCACGGACCGCGTGCGATCTTTCCTTCCTCTTCCTTGTCCTATCGTCACTCCTTACACACTCTTGCATTAAACTTACATGCATACAGAACCACACATGTCGAAAGACCGTTCGGGAGCTTAGAGCTTGTCCCAGCAGGGGCGGGGTCCCGCTGATGGGAGTTACCTGGTCAGGGTAAACCCTACTAGCCGATAGTAGGTTGGCGCCGGTACTCACCAATCAGCGGGGGATCACAGACACCTCCAGAGACAAAAAACATACACTACACTTTCGGGACTAATAACCTTAGCTATTGCTTCCGCAATCATCAATCAAAAACGGAACAGGTGTGCGAAGCGGTCAGGCGCCGGTATCCCTTCTACCTATAGTGATCTGGAAATTTCTCACTAATTGAATTTCTTGCGAGAAATCGGGCAGCACATAATGGAGGAATCCCAATGACGTCACTGGCAAAAGAGCTCCTTGAAGGAGTGCAGTCAATTTGCATTCAAGGAACTCCAAGTACAATTTATCATTTAAATAGCAAGCACGTAAAAGTCTACAAGATAATTGAGCGCGATTTTAGCCGAGATATTTACTTGAAACCGTTCCTGGTGTGCCGATATATTGTGAGTCATGGGACTTACTCTCATCCCAAAAAAGGCCTTTCCTGATGAAGACACAGCATCTATCAAATTGTGACTCACTACAAAACAAAACAGTGCTGCTGAATTGAGGATTTTTTGACTATACGTTCAAGGTATCAATCAGAGAAATTGCAATAGGAATGCATCTTGAGACATTACATGTACTTTATGTTTGAGGTACGGATTTTGCAGTTGTGAATGAACTCTACACACCACGAAGTAGTTAAATTGGTTGAACGCCCGCGCTACGCGAGATGTCTTCGAAAAACTTCTACTTTCCTCAGGCGTGCGCTATAATTATCACGATTATTCTAGTAATAATGTTTTATTAACATTGTTGATTGCCGAGGGAAATAAAAACTAAGATGGGTGTAAGGCCGCCGCGACGAAAACGTGTATTTTAAAGTATTCTATGGAATAAAACATACAAAATCCGTTGTTAAAGACTGGTGTGCTCGCGGCACATTGTCCAAAATTTATTGTTTATTTATGTAGATATTACATAGTTCAGTACATTAAAACTGTCTAGTTGTAGATAAAGACTTATAAGGTAATTTTGTGTATAAAACTTGCACGCAATTATTAAGGGGGAGGAAATCCCATTTTGAGTAGTCAGTCTGGATTTAAATCTGCATATTTGTCATGAATATGTGATATTTATTTATAATTCATGTTCGGTAGTTGGGGTTTTTTGACAAGTTTGGAAGGTAATAGGGCTGGAATTTGAGGTAGGTTATAATAAATGTTGGTGACCTGATAACTGATGTATTGATCAATGGCTTCTAATTTAAATTCTTTACAGTAGCAATTAATCCCAGGGATTTATTTTGTAGGACTTGATGTTTGTGGAGGTTAATTTTAAAAGAATTGGACTAAATTGGGCTGCTGTACAGCATTATGGGTTTTAGAATTGTCTTGTAAATTGCTATAAAAGATGTGTAATGGATTGGGATGTTCATGTAAATAAAAGGTTGTAGATGTGACAGTTTTACTTCAGTTTGGATCAGTTTATCATTGATATGTTTTCCCCAATTTAATTTGGTTGTTTAAGTACAAGCCTAAGTACTTACGGGTTTGTTAGAGGGCACCATTCTATTGTTGTTTTTTTTTGAAGCGAGGAGAGTTTCAGGAGAATACGATCTTAATGAAAATATTTTAGCGGCAATTTCGTTAGGATTTCAATGAATTTTATGTCCAGCAGCCCAGTAATCGATCAGATTTAAATATCGGACGGACGTGGTATCTCAGTCCAGCGAGGGCTGTACCAGAAGCGAAGATGGCAGTGTCATCGGCAAATCGCGTGGGTGCAATCGTGTGGGTAGCAGCACGTAGTGTGTGCATTGGTTGTGGGTGACGACCGTGTCGCTGGCGAGGGTGCGGGCGGGGGCGTCAGGCGCCTTCCGCGCTTGTTCCGAGCAATGAGGCGTGCTGGTCGCCTGGGGGTGGGGGTTTGCGGGGAGAGGGTGGGGGAGGGGAGGGGGAAGGGAGGGATCGTGGACTGTCCGTGAGGCGGCGCGCCACAGCGTTGTCAAGCTGGCTTTCGCCGCAGCCGCAAGGCTGGCCGATGTTTCCCTCGCGGATCGATGCCTGGGCGGCTCCCGCTGTCCCGCCTGCCCCAACCCCCCCCACTTCCCCGCGCCATCTATGCTCCCCACCCACCCCGCGACGGATCCACGCCAACTGACACACGTGAACACACGGCAAAAGTTAATTACTACTTCGATCTTTCGTTCTACAACGATATGTTTAGTAAAGCTGTTATGTGATATGTTTCCTCTCCAATGTTCCTGCACTCCCGAAGAATGCTCGAAAAAAATTGTAATTTTGGAAAACGACTCACCAATTCGTATTAATGAAATTCAATAGACTATTTCACCTAAAACGATGCCTATTTAGCACGTTCGTGAACGAAGACCACATTTATTTATATTTGTTATGGTTTAATTTTCTGCACTATTAATCCTGACCGTCCGAAATCAAAAGGAACTGATTGAGATTTAAATTAGAAATACATTTATTTAGTAAAAAAAACAGCAAAAACTGTATGTGACGTATGGGGGAGAAGATTATCCGCGCACGTTTTCTTGAGTACCAGAATCCGGTCATTTTAACTATAAATAGTTGAAAGATGAGTAAAAGTTTATCGTAAATAAATAAAAATAAATTTTAAAAATCGCAATAATAGCAATATTTGAAAAAATAGACATTTTCATTTCCGCGTTATAGACATCATTATTATTATCCAACATTATAATGAGTGACAGTCATAATCAATCTATATTTATAACACTTGCGCACGTTCATTCAGTGTCACGTCCCACAACACAGCAGTTCGTGTATTTCAAGTAACAAAAATTGCATTAGGCCTTTCCCACTTCGTCATTTCCCCTCCCCGCCCTCCGTCCCCGCTCCCGAGTCCTGAGCTGCTGCGCTCCACGGCTGATTAAGCGTTGCGGCTTTCTCTCGAGCAACAGCGCCGCCGGCGGTCGCACAATAGCCCCAAATCTCAATCAAGGAAACTGCGGCCTCTTGGGCGAACGACGCTCGACAGCTCCCCCCTCCCCCTCCCCCTCCCATCCACCCCGGTCGTCGTTCCCTCTCCGACGCCGCCGCTATGGCCTCGTTGGCATCGTCTTGGGCACAACTGACATCCACCGATGTTTATGGCATCTGCGCCATTCGATGACTCACCACCCATGCGCTGTCCCTACCTCGATAACGAAATCGTATCTCATCGCTTTGTGGCACTATATTCATTTCTGGACCTGTGGCTGCAGTTCACGACTACGTATGACGATATTCATACTCAAATAAAAGGATATTGGTGAAAGTGAATAAAAACTATTTCGGTTTCTAAACGTTTCGGAAAACGTCGTATAAGATGTTTTAAGCTCATTAAGCCCTGAGTAGGGAATCATATTTTCTAAAACGGTGGCAATCTAAGATATTTCCTTTTTCGCCTAGCCCCATCTCATTGTCAACTGTAATGAATATGTTCCTTAGCCACACTATTTGGTCGTTTCTCTCTGGTAACTGTTAACGCGTTCCTTGGTAACCTTCCACCACTCATCGTCCGCTCCCTCCAGATCTCTCCTCCACATTCCCTGCTCCTCCCACATCCGGCTCTCTCCCCCACATCTCTCCTCCCTCCTTACATCTCCTCACAACTCCTACGCCTCTCCACATCTCTCCCTCCTGCCCTTCCACTTCTCGTCCCTCCCTCCCGCTCACATACAGTCTTCTCACCGTGTCACTCTCAACTCTCTCTCGCCCTTTTTTCCTCCTTTCTCTCCCCTGCCTCCGCCCATTC